GAGGATGAGGAGGGAGGGGCGAGGAGGAGGAGGGAGGGAGAGGAGGAGGAGGGGGAAGGGAGCAGGAGGAGGAGGAGATTGCAAAATCAGACCGCCAGCCGACAAAGAAGCAGAAGCAGCAGTAGCAGCAAAAGAAGAAGAAGAAGACAACCTGTCCTCGAGTGAGAAGAAGGAGAGGAGAAGGAGAAGAAGAAGAGAAGAAGAAGAAGAAGAAGAGAATACGAAGAAGAGAATAAGAAGAGAAGAAGAAGAAGACTCAGTGTCCTTGAGCTCGAAGGAGAAGGACAGGAGAAGAAGAATAGTGAAAACAGTGGCCAACTGCCTTTCGTACACGCTTCGAAAACTCTTCAAAACATAGCCGCGTGTACACATCTCAGCTCACGCGCACAATCCCCGACGCGTTTCGATCGGTTGCGCTTCGATCATCCTCAGGGGGCTTTCCACATAACCCTGCCTTGCGGCCCACCGTCAAACCTCCCATCCTTCTGAGTATAGAAGAAGAATATGGGCGCGCAACTGGCCTTCGCGGGGTTGTTTACGTGGTTGGATTCTCGTGCACCGGTTTGTGCACGTGGATGTGCGCCCACGAGGACGTGTCCGCCTCCACTATGGGTGCATGTTGTAAAGTTTCAGCCAATTTCTTTTAGGATCTGATGTTAACTGACCAGAACAGAAACCACACTTGATCGTAGCCGAAAGGCCGAGAAAGGTGTTCAGCCAGTTTTCTGTCCACGAGGTAGTGTTTGTACTCGCATGTCCTTCCAAGGGTATCTGAGGGTTAGGGAGGCGAGGGAAGGACGAAGGTTCTCGCTCCACCACTCAACAGATGTGCAAAATGCGAATGAAATTTTCCGCTACAACAATGGAAAGATGCACGGCGATACGTTTTTGTCTTCTGTGCATGTGGTGATCGGTAACTGTGCCCAGACCACAGCTTTTTGCTGCAACGGCAGCTTTTTTTTTTTTTTTTTTTTTCCTTCCGTGTAACGTTGCTCCATTCCATTGGTGGGGAGCTTTGTCTTCTGTGCATGTGGTGATAGGTAACTGTGCCCAGACCACAGCTTTTTTTTTTTTTTTTTTTTTTTTTTTTTTTTTTTCCCAAAATCTTTTTTTTTTTTCCCAACATCACTTGTTATATTCCCAAAACGAAATTGAATCGAGGCCGGGGTCCTCACACTTCAACCCGGAGTTATCCCGGCAGCATCAGCCGGTTTAGCTTGTTCACTCAACCTCGAATCCTAGGAAAACCATCCATTTCACCTCAGTACTGCACACTCTGTAAAACCATCCAAATCGAGCCTGAGCCATCTTATCCTACCCAGTGCTAACGAGAAAAACCGTATTGTACCTAACCAGGCCTAAACACGGCCTGAGGCTCCGTCTAAAACGACCGAGTGGACTTCAGTCCCCTCCCACCCCAGCACTCTCCACCCTCCTCCCCTGTGCAGACTACTATATCTGCCTACTGGAACCGAGTGCTCTGGTTCTCTCCAGAACCTGCCCCATCATCTGTATTCTATCCAACTGCAGAGGACCAACTTCCCTTCCGGGGTAACCTTAGCCAACTGGTCCCTGATGCACCAGGTCTTTCTGAACCAAAGCAAGCCTGAGGGTATTTCCTCACATTGGACCTTTCTGTGCCAGTCCGCCCTGATGGCATTGGCAAGCAGCAGCTTGAATGTAGCTCCTGCCTGTCGTTCTGACATACTCTTCCCTTGGAATTTCTGATCATTACGATCTAACCAGATAACCCAGAGAAGGATCGCTCGGCACACTTGGGCTGTATAGCCCCAGCCTTCCTTGTCATTGAACCCCCTTGGAATTCCTCCCAGTAGAGCCCACCGCTGTCCTGTAAACTCTGACAGCCCAGTGAATCTTTTCCAATGATACTCCCACCATTCCCACCATCTCTGTGATTTGGGACAATACCACCAAAGATGTGTCATTGTTTCATCGTCCTTCTGACACCGATCGCAAATGGTATTAACAGCCATACCTTTCTCTGCGAGCCATTTCGCTGTTGGCACTGCTAAGTGAGACTGAAGCCACAATAGAGATGCCAATTTTTGAGACGGCAGGATCTTCAATTGAGACCACACACCCGACAGTTCTTTGCTTGTTGGTGGAGACAGATCCGAGGCCTCCCTTCGCCACCTTCCTTCAATCTTGGAACAAAGTGCCTTTGCACCCGATCTCTGTTTCTGAAGGAGAGTCACACTAAGCTTGTCTAGACCCTGCACAATCTCTCCTTCCACTAACCAACCCCAGGCAGCTTCGTCAATCCTCAGATCCTTGAGGGGAGTTCCATTCCCCGCCAAAAATGGAACCTCTGGGAGGCTAGCATCTGCCTGCGCCTGCATCTTAACCCAGACCACAGCTTTGCTGCAACGGCAGCTTTTTTTTTTTTTTTCCGTATAACGTTGCTCCATTGCTGCACCTGCTGGAAACCGGGTCCAGCGTCCCTTACATAGTAAGAGGCCGGGGTCCTCACAGTCTATCCGGAAGAAGATGGACCTTTACCGAGGGCTGTATGGGTTTGGCTTTTAAAGTAGAGATTGAAAGCAAAGATGGCATTACTGTTGAGGTAGGTGAGTCTGAGAGACAGGGTAGTATAGGGAGAGAGAGAGGTCGGGGAGGAGCAACGATAGATGCTTCCATCTTTTTAGTGATCTTTAGTGGTAATGAGTCCTAACTAGTAGATCCTCTCAGCAACGATTGGCTGTCAACTTTGCCGTAATTTAAGATCTAATAATAGCTGGGTGATCCCACAGAATATATCTGAGTAGAATAATTTACTGTATTATTGGGTAACAGGTCTGCCCACTGAAAAGGAGCTGACCATCTCTTCTTGAACTGAGTTGAAACTACATCTGGGGATGGAGACTTGTTCCTGATCCTGACCCAATCTGCCATTATATCGAGGCGTATATCATGTTTAAATTGCGCTAGTAGAGATGGGAGAGGCTTTCTGGTGTCTAGGAACCTCCGATCTCTTCTGGCTAACCGCAGGGACCAGAAGGCCCTTGCTCTGAAGAAGATGGATATCTCTGACTTACTCTGCCGGTCCTGGAGTTTGGTGTCCATCCTGCCGGTGGTGACCACAAAGTTCTCATGCCAAAATCCCTTTAATCCGTATAGGCTTGGAGCCAGAGCTTGTTGAGGAGGTCCCCAAAAACCTCTGACGTCCTTCGGGACATCCGTTAAAATTGGAACGATACAGAGAAAGGAGATTAGCATGGCCCCTGCGCAAGGATGACACGCATAAATCGAGAAATGGTCAAAAAAAAAAAAAAAAAAAAAAAAAACAACCTCTGGCTATGACACATTCCCATCAGAGGTGAAGCCAGTCTTCCAAAGAGCGGTGGGGGCAGATGTAGCATGTAGCTGGGATGTCCATACCTTTGTCTGAGCACCACATGGCGGGGGGAACGCATGCATTGAGTGAAGGTGGAGCCATTGGAGGCCTCCTACTGTAGTGTCTAGAGAGGCTGTAGTGGTTAAGAGACTCGGCTCTTGAGGCTGAGGGCGCCGGTTCGAATCCGTGCTTGCACGGAGGAGGTCCCGTGGCTGATAAAAGTACAGACACTATAATGTGGATAAAGGACAGTAACCATGTGAGTGTGATAGGGGGAAGTTTGAGAGAAAATGCTCGTTGTTGCCAGTTGAGAGTGAGTCCAGATTGCAGAGATTGAGACTGAGAGTGTAAGCTGTAACCGACTTTCGCAGAGTATTCAGAGAGTGGGACTTTCGACTGCACTCCAGTGGGGCTGGAGATAACCCATCCGTATTTATCTATATTAACTTTCCAGTCCTTGATAGGGGTAGAACCGTAGAACTCGTACTTATGTGGAAGGAGGGTTGGCCATTGGGGGACTTTTGCTGATGTACTCTGATTTCTTCCATACCAGCTAGTGATGTGCTCTGTGTATCTTTTTTTTTTTTTTTTTCCTAGC